TGATTAGTTGATCTTGTATGGATAATATAAATTGATTCTTGGAAAGGGTTTTAGGTAAGGATCCGAATATATCGAGGGCAATCTTCTCGTTGGGCTCTGTCGGTGTGTCGGTTATTACAGTCTCTTCCTTTTATCGTATACGAGTTAATTTTTCATACGTCACATCTATTGATGAATTTTTTTTCGAACACGTCTCGTTCGATGTGTTTCCAGTTGTGCTTCTCTTTCAGTCTAGTCAGCGTTCGGTTCTCGCCAAAATTGTGTTATGTCTCGAGTGTGATTCGCTAAGAAGTATTTGTTTGTCATTTTCCGAATACTTACGCAGTGAATTATGTGAAAACTTTACTGATTTGTTAAACTTTGTGCTTAAGAATCGTATCATTAAGTTAATGTTAACGCGTTCTAGAGGTGTTCATGTCAAATCGTTTATCCCTAATCTTATGTATTGCAGTTTCTTTTCATTTCCCGTCTTCATAATGTCGTATAATTTCAGTAACCACTTGTTTCCATTATGTTTCCCTAATATGTCTTTGGTTAGTTGAGTATATAGAAATGAGTTCGTAAGAGGATTCATAAGAGAACTCGTAAGAGGACTGCCAAGCAAATGGGAAGCAGTAATTGAAGTAGATGGTGAACGTTGGAAAATTCGTGCCAATTTCCATACTTTTCCGAGCTTTTTGAGACGACGAATGATGGTCGAATGGTCCACATTGAAGTCTTCGGCAAAAATTCTCGTTGTCAAGCTTCGTCCTCTTCCACGGCTGCCAAAAGTGCCTGGTCATCGAAATTTGATGGTCGACTTCTTCCTTTCTCATCTGCGAGATTTGTATCACCCGATTTGAACTTCTTGAACCATCTTTCAACTTGTCTTTTGATTGTTCCTTCGTCAAAAAGTTCGTTGAGATCGCGAAATGACTGGGCTGCATTCCAACATTTTTTCCAAGTGGTAGAGCATAATATGGCGAATATGGCTATGATTTTCGATCATTTTCACTATCTGAAAAGACAGGATTATTGTTGTGAAAAAAAATAAACAAAACGCCAATTTTCAAAGACTAAAAGAGTTGCGAAAAAAGCCGCAATAATTATGCACCAACCCAATATATTGTCAATATTTGATAATGAATATGCATCTTGATCTGTCTGTTTGTTTAATTTTTTAAAGTCAATAACAATTCTCCATTTGCGCTTCCCTGATGCGTTCGCTTTCTTAGGTGCAACCTACAAAGTAGCATTAAATGGTAAATCGCTATGTTCAATAATTTCTTTATTCAACATTTCAGTAATTTGTCTGTGAATTTCATCTTTGTGACCTTCAGGTGGTCGATAGGTTTTCAGATTGATAGGTTTCTCGGATTTGAGCTGGATCTTGTGTTCGGCTAGAGTGTTGAAAGACAAAGGATTGATTTTAAGAGAAAAAATATCTTTGTAACTAATGATGATTTTCTTTAGATTTTCTAAGTTATCGTTTTCAATAATGAGATTTGATTTCATAGTTTCGTTACCTGTAACAAACTTTCGTCGATTGGTTATTCTAGGTTGGCTAGAGGTGATAGAACTGTGGTTGGTTTTCAATTTCTCAGCGTAGTGGTGTAGAGGTATCGCCTAAGCAAAAGATGAATTAGTGATTGCATAATCATATGCAATTAGTGATTAGTGCACATGATTATGCAATTATTTGAGAAATGGTAAATATCCAAATATCCCATCTTCTTTTAAAGGAAAAGTATCAGAAATGATGTGGAATTTGTGTTCTTTGTTTAAAAGTGTTAATCTTACGATATGTGTAGTTGTGTGTTTGTTTGTTCCGGTCAAGAATTTGTTTGTCTCTTCTCCCAATATTTCGGAATTGACTAACGATCGTTTGACCAAGTTGATTCCTGCTCCTGTATCGATAAAATATTTTTCTCCTTGTATTGTTCCTCGTAGCCTTCTGGCTCTAACGTATTGCAAGGTTTCATGTATAGTATTGATTCTTGGTGGTGGTAACTTTCCCGTTTCTCGATTGAGAAAATTTTGACTGTAACATTTTTCAGCTGTATGTTCAAGTCTATTGCATTTAGTGCATCTCATGTGCTGAGATAGCGATGATTTGTCTAATCTTCCATTGACATTATTCATCTGTATATTTTTGTATATCGTAACTGGCTCATCGATAATCGGTTTTATTTGTCTTGCTGCGTTTTATTCGCGTCATGTATCCAAATTTCCATATCGCCTTATGTTGGGTTTCTAGAAGTGTCTTTGGGTTGCTTGGTATTACTAATCGTTCTCGCGTAAATTCTTTACGTAGATTTCTATGGCATTTTGTTCTTCTTCTTCATACTATTCGTCTAGATGCTGGTTTGCTGGTTTGCACAACATATTTTAGTTCGTTTAACTTGTGTCTGAAGCGTATGTTGTAACTCTGCATAGTTTCATGTTCTCCTTGTGATACGGCTTCGAGTCGTTTCTTTACACTGGTCACAGTTATGTGGTCAAATTTGTTTGAAGTGCTTCATAAAGTTCTTCGTATGTTGTGATTCGCAAATACCGTAAGGCGTGTTCTTTCGGCGTGTCTCGTCATTTTTTTTAGCAAGTATTAGTTCTAATAAAAGATGTTTGTTAGAACATTCTGAAGTATCTAATCTTTTCGATGAAATCTTTAATTCCCATGTCGTCAGTACCGTTGAATGATTTGATTATTCGGATGATGTTTTTGGGTTTTTGGAGTTGAGGTGTCTCATTGATGTTTGAGATGTTGTATAGATGATCCTCTTGTTCTTTTCCTTCTTTTTCTTCTCCTTTGCTCTGATAATCAGATGCTCGTCGTAATCTCATTGTGGTTGCCGAGTCACTAATCACTAGAGATGTGGATATTTAATTCGTGCGCTAATCCCTTGATTTCGTCCACTCTGGTATTTTCTTTGGCTAGTGTTTCATTGGAGATTTGAAGGTTCTTGATGCCTTCTTCGAATTTGTTCTTCGAGTTTCTCGAGCAATAGCCGTAGCGTATTGTCACTGGTTCCTTGTTGAGTCATTTTCGTCTTCAGTCAGGATTTCGATATTTCGAAAATTAAGATGCGTGCCTGTCGTAACTGGTGCTAAAATTATAATTTTTATTTTGTCCAGCTCGTACACGATTTTCAGACGGCGGATCGTAGAAATTCGTTAGACTGTAGTCTTACTCCGTAGAAACACGTTGTAGAGGTTGCGGAATTTCTCTTCTTCCTGGCAGAGACCGTCAAAATTTATCGTGGAAGTTCGGTTGCGTTCCCCC